AAGATCACTTCTGGATCTTGTTCAGCCGCGCCGAACCCGCGCCTGCCGCTGGAAAATCCCGAGCCATTGCTGGAGCGAGGAGTCCATATAAGGCTGGTCCCCACACATGAACCTGCCGAGAGGAGGGAGAAAAAAAACCTACATTAAACCCAGGAAAGGTTGGCCACGTGTGGGCGGGTCTTGGAAGTCAAGTGGATGAAGACAGTGTTTGCAGATGTGAAATTGCGGGTTTTGGGCGAGCTCCGAGCTTCCACCATTGGTGATGAGTGGTATAACGTGTCAGTTAATTACCGGCGTGGGGAGGGCCCTTCGCGCGGGTGTGTGCGCGTGTGGCAGCGGGAGGGAGGGAGGGAAGGAGGGGGCGACTTCCCTTCTTTTTTTTAAGGACAGTATTTACATACAAAGAGCTTCGCACCAGCCCGACACTCCTCGCACTCCAAAGTGTGTTTTGCGCCGATGTTTTCTTCCGAGTGAGGAGGGAAAAAAAAAAAAATTTTTGAGGGGGGGTGCTGGAGGCTGTTCCCGCACACGCACCCCCCCGCGCAGCCTTTCCGCGCGGGGACGCGCTCCCGGCCCCGCGCGGGACCGAGGCGGCTCAGATGGCAAGAGCCCAACTTATCTAACCCGCCTAGGTCAATATTTTGGTTGGGGCTTAGGGATGAGCGCTGGAAATTAAACAGCGAGTAATTGATTCTAGTTTGCTCCGAAATTAGGCGAACTGGCAAAACGCGATCGTCAGGCGCGACCCGAGGAGATCCGGGAGGTGATTATTGGGGGGGAGTGTGTGTTTATTTGAAGAGGTCTCATTGATTTTGCCTCCCTCTTCCAAGGGAATAAATCTAGCCCGTTTGGATAATTCGATGGGCTGGAGCCCGATGGACTCTCATATAGGACTGATTTTTTTTTCTCTTTTCTATTTTTTTTTTTTTTTTTTCACGACCTCAAGACGGAAGGAGGGGGGGCAAAGAAAGGGTTCCTTCCCCAAAGGAGGGCCGGCCCCCCAGGTGTCACACACACACCCCCCCTCCCCGCACTGGGCTCCGGCCCCGCGGGGGAGCCCCGCAGCATCCCCGGCCGCGGGTCGTGGCGGAGCGGCCGTGGGGGCTCCCCCTCCCCTTCGCGGGGTGCAGAACCCCCCACCCCCTCCCACAAGTTCTATCTGTCTGCCACCAACTTTTATTTTCGTTTTCTTTCTTCTCTCCTTTCCTTGCACTCTCCGAGGAGCCCTGGCCGTGAGCACCCTAGCCGGGCACGGCCCGGACTGCCTTCCTTTTCCCCGTCTCCTTCCTTCCCCTTCCATCCCTTTCCCTTTCCTTTTCCCTTTCTCTTTCCCTTTTTCCCTCCCTGTCCCTGTCCCTGTCCCTGTCCCTGTCCCTGTCCCTTCCCCGAACCGCTCCAGGACGGGCCTGTGTGCGGGGATGATGGAGATGCACGGGGTGGGTGGGTGGGGATTTGTATAATCTGGGAAGGGGCTTCCCACCCCCTCCCCTCATTTCTGGGAAAGAAAAGTTGCCCGAGTCTCTCCTCCGGGGCGAAGGAGCC